TTTGACATAATGGTTCACCTAGCCGTACATTTACCTTATGAAGCGAAGTTGGCTGGTCCAGTACACACCCGGTGGATGTATCCATTTGAAAGGTAGTATTATATACTTTATCTTTCCAACAACACGTCTAACAAAAAATAAATATTATTAATAAAGTGTCATGTCTATTCTTAACCAGGGCACTAGGTACTCTAAAGAAGTATGTTAAGAATAAGGCTCGACCAAAAGGATCAATTGCTGAAGGGTATATCATCAATGAGGCATTAAACTATTGTTCAATGTATCTTCATGGAATTGAAACTCATTTCAATCGTTCAGAGCAGAATTCAGACCGTGTTGAAGAGCGAACAGAACCTATATTGTCCGCTTTTGCTCAACCTACAAGATTATTTGGGAAAAAGGATTCATTATACTTAAGAAGTGATTTTGATTCTGAATACAAAAATGCACATTGGTACATTTTAAACAATTGTCCTTAAGTGCAACCCTATATTGAGTAAGTTTATTTCACAAACATCAGTATATTTTTGGAGTTTTGTTTTTTTACTTTTCGAATATTTTTTTATTTTCTTTTACTTAAGAGCCTCCTACAATGATTGAAATATTATTTCATGTCGAACAGTGAACATTTGAAATTATTACTATCCAAAGGCACCATAAATATCCTTCAAGCCCAACAATCACAATTTTCATCTTGGTTCAAGAAAAAAGTAAGAATGTTATATATAATAGTTTGTCATTGTTCTATTACAAGTATTTTCCGCACTAACATTTGTAATAAATGACAGATCGAAACAACACGTAAATCATCACCAGGTGAAGTGAGTGAGTCTATGTATGCTCTGTCATGTATGCCCGATTATCGAATTGATCAATATGGCGGATGTATAGTAAATGGAATTTGATATCATACAGATCAACTCAAAATTACGGTGTTTGGGTAGAAGGTGAACATAATGGCAACACATGTGATTTTTATGGTATTATAACTAATATTTGGGAGCTCACCTATTTATTAAACCATAAAGTGGTACTATTTAAATGCACATGGTATAAGACTGAGGGAAGGAATAATATACATCAAGAATTTCATATTACCAGCATAAATGTAAGCTCGAAGTGGTATCAAGATCAACCGTTTATCCTTGTAAACCAAGCAAACCAAGTATTTTATTTGCGTGATGACAAGCTCGGCTCAGAGTGGAAAGTTGTGGAAAAGGTACATCATCGTCACCTCTGGGATATTCCAAAAGTTATGCCTGAAAGTGCACACGAATGCAAGGAGGATGCTGATTTTTCTAGTGAAGCTTACCAAGAGGAAAGATCAAATCACATTAATGTAACATTTGATAAGTCAAATGTTGAGGCTCCTCTAAATCGTGAAGATGTTGGGATGACAGAGATTGACTCCTTAGTCGTCCAACTCCCAATAGATCTTGTTGATGATCAGATTCAACATGAGTCAGATACAGATGAGGATAATTAGTTACGAGGAATCAGATTCTGCTAATAGTATAGAACTAAATGATATCATTGAAGATATATATCTGATGATGATGATGAGAGTGATTGACTTATAGAAAATGGTAATCTTTGCAACTTTTATATCATTTTTTTTTTATAATACTATCGGTTTATTGTCCTAAATAAAAATTATAAATTAAAAACGATTTATAACAAAACACTTGTTATAGGTTTATGCTCTATGACTAATGGGTCTTTAACTTATATCACAGACCTCGACCTCATTCCTCTGTCTCTCCCTCTTTTCCCCTCTTTCTCTACCCTCGCAAGCTTTTAACTTATATCACAGACCTAATCCCTCTGTCTCTCCCTCTTTTCCCCTCTTTCTCTACCGTCGCAAGCCATGTGTCCTTTCTCTCTTCCATCTCCATCATCGCACAGCTCTCGCCTCTCGGCATCTCCAATTCTTCCCCATCCCCTTTCCCGTTTTCCCCAAATCCAAATTCCTCAATTTTTCCACAAAATCCCCTCCTCTGATCATCCGAAACTGCTCTTGGTCTCCACCGAGACGCCTTCGGAGTTCCGGAAGAATCGCGCCGTCTCGGAGCCCGATGAAAAGCTCTGCGCCCTACCTGAGCTCTTCTCCAAGCCCGGCGTCGACATCGATGCCTATATTATTCCCTCTCAAGACGCTCACCAGGTTCAATTTAGTTCCTTTTTCCCATTTTTTTTCTTTTTTGTTATTGAATTTGGAGTTTTGGTGTTCATGTGAATTCTTTTAAATTAGAATTTAATATGTATTTTGTTTCTCTATTGTTAGAGGAAAAATAAATAGCATAAAAAAAATAAAAATAAAAAGACTTAACTGCCGTTGGACTAAATAAAAATGAAAGTTAAGTTTAAAAGAAAAAACAAAAAATGAAAAAGAAATTGGCGCCATAAAGAACCCGCGCAGTCTCCACAATTCACGCTCATGTTCGAGTTAGTGCATTATACGGTTTTATTTATCCTCTCAACTATACAGTTTTATGTATGCTCTCAACTCTTGATAATATAAAAGTATCCATTGAAAGAAAACTGAATACTCCAGGAAACTCCAAAACACAGGAGTGAAACCAAGAAGGAACATCAGCGTTTCAGGTTAGTCATTTCTGCACTGCTTAAAATCAATTATATTTATGTGTATTGTCTTTCTTATATCAATAGAAAATTTGTTCACTTTTATAGTATCGGTACTTACTGCTCTGTTTCCTCTTATGGAATCATAGTATCCCACACCTTAAAATTAGTGTATCTATATAAATTATGTCTACAATCTAGTATGTAATGTTGATCTAAACTATAAATGGGCTTCGTTTTGCTTCAACTTGAAATATGCTAACAATGTTGTTTCACTTATAATTGAATGTATTTATGATTTCAATCAGAATTCACTTGTCATTTTTCTTTTCAGCTATGCCACCAAAAAAGATGAATCCTGCACCCACCCCTACATCCTTCGGTATGTCTTCAAAGTCTCCTATCAATCCTACTATTTCTACACCAGCAACAGGGGGTGGAGCATCAGGGACATCCACCCATATTCCTTCATCTATATTGAGGGCAACCCCTTCCACAGTTCTGTCAACCACAATCACTCCTCATACAGATTCGTCCCCTCCAGATGACCTACAAGGTTCAACATCTACTGGTAATTATCCATATACTTATTATTATTCATTTGTAATCTCTGTCTATTATTTAGTATGACGCTTTGTTTATTATTATTATTGTTTTTTTGCTTTTCAGCACCACCAAAGAAAAGAACTCGTGGCCCTAATCGAAGTAAGGGCACAGGTCGTTTAATTAGTGAGAACAAGTTGAATGTGACTTATAACAAGGGAGAGCTTCATCCTTATGGTGACAATGCAATAAGATTTGCATCTGAAATTGGTATTATTGTACGAGATCATGCCCCACTTAGAGTTAAAGGATGGAGCAAGATTGACAATGGGGATAAAGAAGTCATTTATACCCGCATTAAGGTAACTATTTCAGTAAAGTATTTTGATATGAATGATATGAATAGTAATTTGTAAATTTTGTTAAATATGTGATACAGGACAAGTTCAACTTAAACTTGAATGATACAGATTTGGTGAGCATCATCGATAGCCACTGTTCTAATCGTTATAAAAATCATCGAAATAGTTTGCATGGATATTATAAGAACATGATAAAGAATGGAAAAAATCCAAGAGCTCATCCACCTTCAAAAGTGAGATCAAATGAGGACTGGGAGTGGCTGTGTGATAACATTTTTAGCAACCCACAATGGCAGGTATGCATTTATATTTCTCCTTCTATTTAGTTTATTTATTTCTTGTGTATCTCATGGGATGTAATATGTTTTAATTTTTTATTCGGGCTTTATTTTTAATAAGAGTTGCCACCTATGTTGAAGAATTTAATAGATTCTTCCTATTGTTAATTCGGTCAGTGACTACATTTGTTCTTTTATTACTATTAAGTAAATACAATACAAATATATGTGTGTTGCAGCTATATGTCCATATATATTAAGTGGTTGATTAGGAAAGAGATGTAATACAAATTTTATGGTGTGTCTGTATAAAAAGCCTCTAAACAGTAGTACTCTACGTTCATATTTTTTTTCCCAAGTTTTCTTTTACTTTTACCTAGCCTTTACTTGAACTACGTTTCCATTCCAAAAAAAAAAAAAAAGAAGTGTTCAAGTTTCAAAACGAGTAGCTAAAGTTTAGCTTTCAGGTAACAACCTATATACTTTAGATTGTATGGCCTTTTTAGACTGATTGTTTGGTGAAACTGCAACCAAACTCCAATAAAAATAGAAAAATTATGTATATATTGTCACTTCTTTAAAATTATGTACAATATATTTCTATCTTCTAAACTTTGTAGAATCTTTTCTATATTTGTGTGCTAATGCAATAGTAACTGGTGCAGAAATGATCTGAGGCAGCACCGGTAATAGAGGTAGACTCGCACATGTTCATCGAGCTGGATCCAAGTCTTTTATCGGACACCGATCACAAGTGGTAATTTACTTTAATGAAAAGCAAACTAAAACTTTTTTTAATTCACATAGAGAGGAAAAGGTTAATTACTTATTTATATATGACTTTAGATTAACTCTACTAATTAATGAGTTTAAATGTTAATGCTTAACCGTCATCTGAAGGTGTTTTTGAGCTTGGACGGATTGAGTTATTTAAAGAGACTCACTGGAATGCAGCTCATGGTTGGATTAATGAAGAGGCTGAGACAAGATATGTATGTTTTATTTTTTAGAGTCTATTTTGACCGTTTGCTATATATATTAAGTATTTAATTTGCAAACCTATTTGTTTATAATTGCAGAACCAAATGGTAGAGCTAAGGCAGCAAAGGGAGGACAATAATGAAGTTGTAGATGAGGTCGCAATATGTGCTCAGATTCTTGGTAGTGAAAGAAATGGGTATATACCAGGTCTTGGACCGATAACTCGTGCAGTCATCTCAATCTTCTACTCAAGTTGAGGCACAATTTCAACAATGCGTTGGAGACATGGCTGATCAAATGCGAATGGATTTTCAAAGAGCGAGAGGAGATCACTATAACAATCCGACAACAATTAAGAAATGAGCTTCTCGAGGAAGTGCGGAGAGAGATGATAGCTCTCATGAATGGACCAAATGAACATCCTTTCCCAAGTTTTCAATCATCACAACAACTGCTGCCGCCTCCACTGCCGCCGCCTGCATCAACCGTTTGATATTTCTTTATAAGTTCGTTTATCTTTAGAGATATGTTCAACTATTTAGTTTGATGTTTATGTGTTTACGTTTATGTTTTTAAATCTATATACTCTAATTGGTTAGACTTACATGTTTACTTCTAAAAACTTGAACTATATATGGCGGTATTTAGATATGTGATTTAACAATTATTTAGATATGTTATTCTTCTATCTAATTACATATTATGCTAATTCTTTAAATAAAAATTAGCAATCAAATACCTTTTTAGCAACTAAAAAATTAGTCACTCAAAACAGAAGTCATGAGTTTCTACTAACCACAATTTTTTAAAATAGCGATTAAAAGTTGGTCACTTAAAGTTAGTTAATAAATTAATTAGTGACTAATTGTTAATCGCTACAAAATTAAAAATAAAAAATTTCAATGACTAACTAGTAGTCGCTAAATTAGAAATTTTAGCGACTAAAAGGTTAGTCATTATATGTCTAATAATTGATTTAACAACAACTAATAATTAGTTGCCAATTAGCTTTTACATAGTCACAAAAAATAGTTTGGTCTCTTTGCAACACAAATTTTTGGTGCCCGTGATATTTTTTTGCGACCAACTAAAAAACTCTTGCAATTAAAATTTTAGTCATTGAATGCATGAATATCTAGTGACTACAACATTTTAGTCGTAAAAAACTTTCTATGACCGACTTTTAGCGATCAAGAAGCGACTATATTTGTTTAGTTACGAAAGGCTTTATGCGACTAAATTTGGACTATTTATGACTAAAAAATTAGTTGTTAAAAGTCAAATTTCTTGTAGTATGATGCTGAGACAGTCACATTAGAATGCAAGTTAAAAATATAAATAAATTTAAAAAAAGAAAGAAAAAGAGATTTTCTCCCACAATAAATGGGCAATCTCGATATGAAAAGAACTGGATGTATATATAATATACTTTAGAAAGAGGAAAGCAAAAGCATTCTTAAAATTGAAACATACCTATACTTAGTCAAGAGAGGATCATCCATCATTTCCCTAAGTAAAACCCCATCCGTGAGAAACTTTATCATAGTTACACCCTGTGCTGCCAAAACACCTATTATTCATTAATCGTGATATTGAATTACAAGTTACAACCATGATAACTAATTTGCAAGACTAATGTTTATTGATAAAACATAAATAAATAAAATGTCTAACATTTTTGGTGATATCTTCAAATCTTATTGTGTAGCCAACTTCCTCTTCAAGCTTGACCCCCATTTCTTCAGCCACTCTTGAAGCAACTGCCTGAATATCACAAACTCTGAGCATTTGTGAGAAAATGAGTCAAAATTTCATAGGGCTCTTTACACACATAGCAAAATTTAAATACGAAGGTTGAAATGTAGCAAAAGTTTTGAAAGTTAATAAACAATAACAAAAATTGATATTATTAAAGTAATGACTACGTAATTATATGGTACAATATCATTATGATAATTACTATGTAATTTTTTTGTCATTTTTATAATACATTGAAAACTTTGCAAAGTTTCAATTCAAATTTCAAGGTATGAAATTATGCCATATAGGGTAATTAAAAAAAAAGGTAACATCTTCAACTCATGAAAATGGCTTAGAAAGCAATAAATCACCTGAACAGCCAATCTTCTTGGTTGTGTGCAAGCTATAACACGCCCACCATCAGCCCAACCTGCTTCTTTGAGGTACTGCAGTTTCAGAAGCCAAAATAACAAACATTTGAAATTATTACTGAAAAGGGTCACTAACATTTCTTCGATATTCTCATGCATCAAAAAACAAACAAACAAACTGAGGAATCTGAGTGGTTTTGCCACTGCCCGTTTCGCCAACAACAATGGTGGTGGAATGGGTCTCCACCAAATAAAGAATGGCGGTGCGGTACTTGTACACGGGAAGCCTCTGTCTCAGCCTCTCGATACTTGAATCCCCAAATCTGCCACCACAACCACAATAGAAATCAATAACTGTAAGACAACAAGAATGAAAGTGGAAATTTAATCAGAAGAAGAAAGATACCCAGAGGAAGAAGAGTGAGAAGAAGAGAAGACCACCCTCCTCGTCGTCGAGAAGGCGGGGTTTCTCGGTGCCTGGCTTCCAAAACTGGGGCATTGCTTGCTTTTTCGTTGCTTTCGTTTCGTTTCTCCGCAGCTTCTTCTTGTTTGCTGCTTTTACTTTCTTTCTTCTGCGTTCGGTTCGTTTTCTTTGGATTGTTTAAGATGGAAATTGGAGCCAATTGGCCCCTCCTGGGCCTCCTCTTAAATCCAAAAACCCGTTTGTAAATTAGGAGGCGGGTCCTCCCTCAGGGGAATGAATAGCACTTCTATTCAGATCGGATCGGATGCCAATACGGATATATGGTAACCCGATTCAAACTAAAACTCTTCCTACCCGATTCAAATTAAAACTTAAAACTCTTCAAAAAACAAAAAAACCCAACTGGACGTGTGCAATCATTGGTTCACACATTTAAAATTATAATTATGATTTTATCATAATACTTTATTTGAGTTCCCGCAAATGGATTATCTTACAAAATTTAAATGTAGAATCGAAATCACCGATTTAAAAGCGCTTAAATAGGCGACTTTCTTGATTATAGTTTTGAGGTTTCAGATTCCATGCAATCTAGAAATTAGAATTAAGAACTCATTTGGAAAGTTATGCTCTTAAAAAACCCTAAAAACCTTTAAAAAGCCTTAAAAATCCTAAAAAAGCATAAAAGTCAAAAAACCCTAAAACCCTAAAAACACAAAAAACCTAAAAAAACCCCTTAAAAACCCTAAAATACCCTAAAATACCCTAAAACCCTAAAAACTCTTAAAAAGCCTAAAAACCCTATAAAAACTCTTAAAAAAAACGATAAAACCCTAAAAACACTAAAAACTTAAAAACCCCTAAAAAATCCTAAAAAAATCTAAAAACCATAAATAGACCCTAAAAACCCAATAAACACTAAAAATACAAAAAACTCAAAATACCTAAAAAAATCCTAAAATATCCTAAAACCCCTAAAAAAAACTCTAAAAACCTTTAAAAAGCCAAAAACCCCTATAAAAACCCTTAAAAATCATAAAAACCATAAAAAGACCCTAAAAACCCCAAAAAAACACTAAAAACACTAAAAACTCAAAAAACCTAAAAAAACCTTAAAATACCCTAAAACCCCTAAAAACCCCAAAAAACCTTTAAAAACCTGAAAACCCCTATAAAAACCCTAAAAAAACCAAAAAAAAAAACCCTAAAAAGCCTAAAACCCTAAAAACCCTAAAAAACCGTAAAAACACAAAAAACTTAAAAAATCCTAAAAAATACTAAAAAAAACCTAAAAATCCCTAAAAACCATAAATAGACCATAAACCCCATAAAAACACAAAAAACTCAAAAAACCTAAAAAAAACCCTAAAAGGCCCAAAAAACCCTAAAAACCCTTTAAAAAGCTTAAAAAACCCCTATAAAAACCCTAAAAACCATAAAAACCATAAAAGACCCTAAAAACCCCAAAAAACACTAACAACTCAAAAAACCTAAAAAAAACCCTAAAATACCCTAAAAACCCTTAGAAAGCCTAAAAACCCTATAAAAACCCTAAAAACACACAAAAACCCTAAAAAAGCATAAAACCCTAAAAACCCTAAAAACCTAAAAAACCATAAAAACCATAAAAAAACCCTAAAAACCCTAAAAACCTAAAAAACCATAAAAACCATAAAAAAACCCTAAAAACCCTAAAAAATCCTAAAAATACCTAAAAATGCCTAAAAACCATAAATAGACCCTAAAAACCCTAAAAACACAAAAAACTAAAAAAACCCTAAAAACCTTTAAAAAGCCTAAAAAACGATAAAACCCCTTAAAAAGCATAAAAGCATAAAAGCATAAAACCCCCAAAACACTAAAAACCCTAAAAAAACTAAAAAAACTCTAAAAACCTTTAAAAAGCATAAAAACCCTATAAAAACCATAAAAGACCCTAAAAACCCCCAAAAAAAAAACACTAAAAACTCAAAAAACCTAAAAAACCCTAAAATACCCTAAAACCCCTAAAAACCTTAAAAAAGCCTTAAAACCCCTATAAAAACCCTAAAAAGCCTAAAAACACAAAAAACCTAAAAAACCCTAAAAAACCCTAAAAACCCTAAAAAAGCTAAAAACCCCTAAAAACCATAAATACACCATAAAACCCTAAAAACACAATAAACTAAAAAAACCTAAAATACCCTAAAATCCCTAAAAAAACTCTAAAAACCCTATAAAAACCCTAAAAAAGCATAAAAACCATAAAAGACCCTAAAAACCCAAAAAAACACTAAAAACCTAAAAAAAAAAAAAAAAACCCTAAAATACCTAACAGCCTTAAAAACCTTTAAAAAGCCTAAAAACCCTATAAACCCCATAAAAAGACCCTAAACCCCCAAAAAACCACTAAAAACACTAAAAACTCAAAAACCCTTAAAACGCCTAAAAACCCTACAAAAACACCTATAAACCCCATAAAAAGACCCTAAACCCCCAAAAAACCACTAAAAACACTAAAAACTCAAAAACCCTTAAAACGCCTAAAAACCCTACAAAAACACTAAAAAAAACCATAAAAACCCTAAAAAGGCATAAAAGCCTAAAAACCCTAAAAAACCTAAAAACACTAAAAACCTAAATAACCCTAAAAAAACCTAAAAACCCTTAAAAACCCATAAATAGACCCTAAAAACCCTATAAACACTAAAAAACTCAAAAAACCTAAAAATACCCAAAAATACCCTAAAAACCCTAAAAAAACTCTAAAACCCATTAAAAAGCCTAAAAAGCATAAAAACCATAAAAGACCCTAAAACCCCAAAAAAACACTAAAAACTCAAAAAACCTAAAAAAAAATCCTAAAATACCCTAAAAACCCTAAAAAAACACTAAAAACCTTTAAAAACCTTAAAACCCCTATAAAAACTCTAAAAAAGCATAAAACCCTAAAAACCCTAAAAAAACCCTAAAAGCCTAAAAAATCCTAAAAAACCTAAAAACCATAAAGAGACAGTAAAAACCCTAAAAACACAAAAAACTCAAAAAACCTAAAAAAGCCAAAATACCCTAAAAACCCTAAAAAAAACCATAAAAACCTTTAAAAAGCCTTAAAACCCCTATAAAAACCCTAAAAAAATCCTAAAAAAACTTAAAATCCCTAAAACCCATAAATAGACCATACAAACCCTAAAAACACTAAAAACTCAAAAAACCTAAAAAAATCCTAAAAAAGCATAAAAGCCTAAAAAACCCTAAAAACACTAAAAACCTAAAAACCCCTAAAAACCATAAATAGACCCTAAAAACACAAAAAACTCAAAACACCCTAAAATATCCCAAAAACCCTAAAAACCCTAAAAACCTTTAAAAAGCCTAAAAACCCATAAACACCCTATAAAAGCCCTAAAAAAAACCATAAAACCCTAAAAACACTAAAAACCTAAAAAACCCTAAAAACCCTAAAAAATCCTAAAAAAACTTAAAAACTCCTAAAAACCATAAATAGACCCTAAAAGCTCAAAAAACTGAAAAAAAAAAAACCCCTAAAATACCTTAAAAACCTTAAAAAAAGCCTAAAAACCTTATAAAAACCCTAAAAACCATAAAAACCATAAAAGACCCTAAAAAAAAAAAACACTAAAAATACTAAAAACTCTAAAAACTCAAAAAACCTAAAAAACCCTGAAATACCCTAAAAACCCTAAAACATCCTAAAAACCTTTAAAAAGCCTTAAAACCCCTATAAACCCCCTAAAAAGCATAAAAACCCTAAAAAAGCATAAAAGCCTAAAAACCCTAAAAAACCCTAAAAACACAAAAAACCTAAATAATCCTAAAAAACCCTAAAAAACCTAAAACCCCTAAAAACTCCTAAAAACCATAAATAGACCATAAAAACCCTAAAAACACACAAAACTCAAAAAACTTAAAAAACCCTAAAATACCCTAAAAATCCTAAAAACCTTTAAAAACCCTATAAAACCCCTAAAAATGCATAAAAACCATAAAAGACCCTAAAACCCCTAAAAAACTCAAAAAACCTAAAAAACCCTAAAATACCCTAAAAATCCTTTAAAAGCCTAAAAAACACTAAAAACCCTAAAAAATCCTAAAAAAACCTAAAAACCCGTAAAAACCATAAATATACCCTAAAAACACTAAAAACTCAAAAAACCTAAAAAAACCATAAAAAACCCTAAAAACGCTAAAAAACCGTAAAAACCTTTAAAAAGCCTTAAAACCCCTATAAAAACCCTAAAACCCCCTAAAAACCCTAAAAAGCATAAAAGCCTAAAAACCATAAAAACCATAAAAACGCTAAAAACCTAAAAAACCCTAAAAACCCCTAAAAATCCTAAAAAATCCTTAAAAAACCTAAAAACCCCTAAAAACCCATATATAGACCCTAAAAACCCTAAAAACACAAAAAAAAAAAAAAAAAAAAAAAAAAACTCAAAAAAAAAAGCCTAAAAAACTCTAAAAACCATTAAAAAGCCTAAAAACCCTATCAAACCCTAAAAAAGCATAAAAACCATAAAAAGGCCCTAAAAACCCAAAAAAAAACACTAAAAACTCAAAAAACCTAAAAAACTCCTAAAATACCCTAAAAACCTTAAAAAGGCCTTAAACCCCCTATAAAAACCCTAAAAATGCATAAAAGCCTAAAAACCTAAAAAACCCTAAAAAAAGCTAAAAACCATAAATAGACCATAAAACCCTAAAAACACAATAAACTCAAAAAAACCTAAAAAAGAACCTAAAATACCCTAAAAACCCTAAAAAACTCTAAAAAGCCTAAAAAACCCTATAAAAACCCTAAAACGGAACAAAAACCATAAAAGACCCTAAAAACCAAAAAAAAAACACTAAAAACTCAAAAAACCTAAAAAAAAAACCCTAAAAGCCTAAAAAACCCTAAAAACCTTTAAAAAGCCCAAAAACCCCTATAAAAACCCTAAAGAGCATAAAACCCATAAAAGACCCTAAAACCCCAAAAAACACTAAAAAAACTAAAAACTCAAAAAAAAAACCCTTAAAAAGCCTAAAAACCCTATGAAAACCCTAAAAACCCTAAAAACACTAAAAACCTAAAAAACCCTATAAAAACCCTAAAAAAACCTAAAAACCATAAATAGACCCTAAAAACCCTATAAACAC